TTAGTAAATAATGACATGCATCTATGAGAACAAGGGATAGGTATGTCAATTATAATAGAAAACTTTTACAAAAAAAACAAAAATCGTAGTTATCTAGAGTTTGGAGAGTTTATGATCTAGAATGTAACAAAATCAGAAGACAAAGATCCCTGTGGTTCCATAATTTGTTGGCATACAGATATAGAGTACAACTATCTTAGCTCAATGTGATAGTTTAGCACCACTCTTACTAGCTAGGGATATAATCTAAGATGCACCTAGTCTAATACTTATTGCCGTTAGCTCTAGTGTTCTAAGAAACTAAATCTCTCTTAAAATAGTTTTTTAAAATTAAATAGAAATAGTCTAACAAAAAATAGGATTTCTAGTCACAGATATAAACAATGTCGAGAAAAACAATATTTGACAATTTCTCAAAATAAAATCAATAACAACATACATGTCCCTTTGTTATACATTTCTAACAAACTTTAATTTAGTTTTTTAGAAAATCAGGAGTATCATGTAAAATCAGTATTTATAGCAAATATGGAAAAATTATAAATACTCATAAATTCATATTACTACTCACAAAATTGATAGATTTCAAACAGTCCAATCTTCAGCGATATGGGCTCCACAAGAAACATAAAAAGCATCCAAAATCATAAAAAATAAAATATCTATTTTAAGAGTCTAATATATCTAACAATTAAATTAATATAAATTTCCAATCAAAACACAAGTATAAATCTAGGTTTTCGTGCCCAAAACCCAAGTCAGGGCTAGTAAAGTCCCTAACCGATCAAATAAATCATGAATTGAGTATCAAAAGTCTTGAACTGGTCTTATAAGGCATAAAACTAGTTTATTTAACCTCTAAATCATCTTTTAAAGTACAAAACTGGTCTTGAACCAGTCACTAGTATGCTGAACCAACCATGAACCAGCTTTTAATGCACTAAACCAGCCTTATACTAGCCTCTAATGTACTAATGCACTAAACCAGTCCTAAACCTGAACTGGCCTCTAATGCATTGAACTAACCCTGAACTAGCCTCTAATAAACTAAATTAGCTCTAAACTGGCCTTTAATGTATTAAACTGGACATATAACAAATTGAATCGGATTGATTATTCTATAAATAGGGCTAAATAAGCCCTAAACCAACTACTAGAACACTGAACTAAGGGTTAAGGCATTGAACTGGTCCTATTTAAGGACAAAATTGATCATTATTACACTGAGCTAGTCCATATAAGCATTGAACCAGTCAAACAAGATACTGAATCAGTTAACTAACCCTTTAAACCAACTAAAACTCTCCTAAACCAACTAAAAAACTAGTGAACCGGGCCTACTAAGTAGTGAACCGGCGTAACAATTATTGAACTAGGGATTTAAATCATTAAACAAACAAGAATCCTCCTTGAGCCGATTATGTATTTCAGATTTGGAATCCAGATCCAACACTGCCACGTAGACCTGGTACCAAATGACCTAGTCCAAAAACCTAGTTCAAAGCCTAACTTGTATAACCCAAAAGCCACTCAACCTAAGCTCATTTAGCCCAGCCCAGTCCAAAGTCTTGGCCTAAATCTAGATTACCCAATCTTGTTAATGGCCCAGCCTAACGACCCATGGCCCAAACCCTGTCTAAGCCCAAACTCTTGGCCTTGTCCTGGTTCACTAAACTGGATTAGTTTTTGACTTGAGAACCCATTTGGGTCATCATCGCAACCCAACTCCCCTGTTAAAAATCCGAAAGAAACTTACATAGTTATGGAGGTTGATTGGACAAAAATCTCAACAAGATTGATATTGTAGTGGTCAGAGCTGTTAAGGTAGTTGGTGGCAATGATGGCACAGTGGTTCAATCAGCCAGAAACAACCTTGATAAGCTTAATTTCCTGCCAGAGTCTCGTCATCAACAATGGAGAATTTCAGAGGGAATCGACGCACATAGAGTTCAGATTTCTAGGATTTGAGTTAGGGTTTTTGTTCTAAGAGATTCGTTCTTCAAATATACATGCTCAATTGGAAATTTGTGGATGCAATATTGCTGATTTGATCAAATCACGCAATCAGGTTTCAAAGATGGAATGGACGATCAACAAGATCGAATTTTCAAGATTTTGCAAATAGGTGCTTAATATCCTTATTTTGTTCATTTCAGTCCCTACCCTATTCTGATTATGTGTACTCGATCCTTGAAAGATTAATTTATTTCAATTAGGTCCTCCAACTTTTTAATTGAGCCCCAATTTTTCAGCGTCTTTCCATTAAGTCCCTTGATAATTTAAATTTCTCCTAATTACCCTTGATTTGGGGTATTGTAGGTCTCTCCCCTTTACTAAAAAATAAAAAAAATGAAAAAGAAAAAACTTTTTGTCAAGAAGTTTGAGCATGCCACCAATAAATTTTTCGTTGACCAAATACTTATTAATAACAATTACTAATAATTACAAGTAGAAAGGTTAATGGATCAACACCATGTCAAAGTTTTAAATCACAGAAAGATTTTACAATTTTTATTTTTTCTTTGCCAAAATGTAAAAGCAAATAATGAAAATCATATAATTGGGAAAATATATAGTTTTTGTCACGTTGCAGAGTCAAGATCCATGTTAAATAAAAAACATATAAAACTCTAGAAATACAAACACCATTTGCATACAATTCATATATACATATAGCTTTAGCCTGATGTGCAGAATAACGTATTGTCTAGGAGCAGTATATATGAAAACATAAAACATGGGTTTCATGTAAGGATTTAAGTGAAGAAATTAGATGTTTTGGATGTTAAATTGAAGTTTAAAGAGTTTACAAATTATATTGAATAATGAAGAAGAGATAGAGAGACCAAAGTGTAAATTAGCTTGTATTATTCATCCTCCTGCATCCAAAACACTAGTCGCTCAACAATTGTCTCTGTTGAGGACTCCAGCTACACTAGGGACTCATTTAATGCATGGCACTAACTCTCCTTTGTATTAAATCCTTAATTGGCAATAAGCGAACATCAATGGAAACCTCCATTAATCACATCTCTACCCCTTGGCCTATTTCGCCTTGCAATAATCCCATCCTTACCCAGTTTGACTCTTTGTAGCTTTGCCATTACATCTCCTAGATCTAGTCTTCTAATGGTGGCTACTGACTTCAGAACCTATGAAGGAAGAAGAATATCAGGGCCTCGCTGCATGGTGGACAAGGTTAGTGATTGGTTGATCATGATCAATTGATTGGCAACAAATGCGAATGAGGAGAGGCAAAGGAGAAGAAGATGATGAGTAAGAATGGACGGGCAAAAGTAAGGGAGACAAATGTCATCTTCATTGAAAATAACTTATTTACAATCATTTTGATAAAAAAATAGTGAGCATAACTTTTTGTTATTTTCATTTTTCACCTTATTGTTTTAAGAAATATTTTTGATAAAAATAAACAACATACAAACAAAATTTTAAAATAACATATATGAAAGCTCTCTTTTTTTCTATTTTTTTCATTTATATAAACAAATAAATTATAAATTTAGATACAAAATTTGGAAAAATTACCAAACTGGTCAATTTAGGAAAATATTACCTGGAGGGCTAATATAAAAAAAATTGGTCCAAAAGATTTAAAACTCTAAAATACTCTTCCACTCCTTTTCAAACCCAAATTATAAGTATGAATTTATAAAAATATAAACATATTTTTTCAAAATTATAAGTTTATAAAGTTACAAGTATGTTTTTGTAAAACTACATTTAAAAGAGTAAAAACCAAATTCTCTTTTTAGTGCCTAACTGTTGAATGTGTAAAGAGTCATTGGTAGATGACTTTCTAAGTTTCTGGTATATTGAATTTATAAATTGTAAAAATAAATTTAAAGTTACAAAAGCTTCAAAAGTTTAAAATCTTAATTCTTAGTATTTTAATTTCTTTGATATAACTTATTATAAAAATCATATTTATTTTTAAGAAAAAAATAGATTGCGAAAGATGAAAATAATTTAGAGAGAAAAAAATTGGAAAAAAATTAGAGAACAAAAGTTGAAAACATTTAGAGAGAGAAAGTTGCTAAAATAAAGAGAGGAAAGTTTAAAAAGAGAAATTAAAAGATTTTTGGAGAGATAAAATTTTAAAAATTTAGAGAGAAAGTTAAAAAATTTGAAAAGAAAATTTGAGAGAGAGAGAGAGAGAGAGGGGGAGAGAGACGGAGGGAGAGAAAGAGAAATTTGAAGAAAGGAAGTAGTAAAGATTATAGAGAAAAAATTTTAGAAAAAGAAATTTCAAAAAATTTTGAGAGGGAAAATAGAAATAGGTTAGAGAGAGTTCAAAAAGTTTAGAGAGAGAAAGTGGAAAGAATTAAATATTTTGAATAAAGTTGAAAAAAAGTTAAGAAGAGTTAAAAAAAAATTTAGACAGAGAAAATTGAAATATTTTAGAAAGAAAAGATTTTAAAGGACAAAAACTAAATAAAATTGTTAAAAAAGTTCGAGAAAAAATTTTGATAGAAATCCCTTGAATGATTCAAATTAATTTAGAATTTTAATTTTAACAACTTGCAGAAAAGAGACCTTCAGTTGAAAGGTCTCCATCTATTTTTTCCCGATAATTATTACTTTTTAAAGCGGCCACGGCCATTATTCTCTTCGTTACATTGCAGAATTAATGCATCTCTGGACCACGAATCAGAGCCGTCGGTTAATAAATCACATCTATTGTTAATTGATCAGTTGTCTTTGAAACTACCAGTAGAAATGATAGGCTTCAATTTAATTAAATAAACGATCAAAGGATGGCCTATTAATATGCAACATAAAATATATATATATATATATATTCATATAATATATACATACATACACATATATGTAAAGATGCATTATTTGATCATACATTTTCTTTAAAAATACATAATTAACTACATATAATGTATCATTTTGTCACCATCATCACCGTCCCATTTTCTGACCTACTGGCACACAAGCAAGGTGAGAAAATGCTGATGAAGGCGGAAATTTTATCTCTGATCGAAGCGGTCGGAGAAGTCGGAGGCGAGGCGGGAAGCAATGGCGGAGTGGTACATGGCGTCCTGATACGACGACGAGACGACCATCATCTTCCGGAGCTGCTTGGCCTTCTCCTCGGTGAAACACCCCGGTGGGAACCGCGACCGTCCGGGCTTGGCCACCGGATCCGAACCCGACTTTCTCTCAGTCTCGCCGGCGCTTTTGACGTTGGAGTCAATGTAGTCGGGTTCAGAGGGCCACCCGAAGAGCGGGGTCCACCAGCTGGAAGAAGAACTTCTCGGACGGTTCGTATCAGCCTTGCCGTGACCGACAGCGGCACATGGCCGGACTCCTATCTGCCGGAGAGAGACAAGACTGCAGGTCATTTCTGTTTGATTTACAAGTAGCAAGGAACTTTAGACGATAATGGCTTTTGTAAGAATCCCTGGCCGGTTGGGGGGCAGGGGGGGTAAATGAGAAAAGTGAAGGGGAAGGGATAAGATGTACACGTGGCAGTTACGTGATTGAGAGGGCGGGTCTACGCATTGCTTTTTCGTGCTCCTTTTACTGTTCAAATCCATCTTTAACTATTCAACCGAACGTCGTCGTAGCGGTGCGTTCTCTGCCCTTTCCCTCCCATGAAGATGGGCCTCGCCGTCTCCGTGCACGGCCCCTTTATTCTTTGACGAAAATCCCCTTGGGTCTTATCAATGTCATAAAATAAAAATTTAATACGTAAATTGCGCCTAATAATAAAGATTTTTGATATTTTATATTTTAATATTATAATTTTGGTACTTAATACCTCAATTTTATAAAAATACACCTTTACTATAAAATTAATAAACAAAATTAGAAGTTTATTTTATTAGAGGATAGAAGGACAAAAATTAAATATTTAATTTAAATCTCAATTTTTTCTAGTTCTACTCTATTCAATATTCTCTTTATTCTCTCTATATTTTCACTCATTCTTTTTAATAATTTAATTCATAAATTATAACTCAAATGTACCAAAATTTGTATTATTTTTGTTAGTTTTTGGACAAATATAATTTGTGACATTATATATTTTAAATATTACATGACAAAAACTTTCAATTTGTCTATTTTTGTTAGAAATAAGACTGTGGAGAGAGGAAAAAATTTAAAATATTTTTAAATTTGTATTTTTTAATTCTTATGATTTTAAAAAAAAATTTAAATAAAAAGAGCATGTTTTGTAAAAATTATATGGAGAATAATTTATAAAAATAATGTCAAACATGGTAATTTTTTAAAAATATAAAATAATTTTATAAAATAAATAAAAACATCTTGTCATTTTCCATCCAAACAAACTGGTTTAAATTTAATGGATTAATTATTTAATTATAATTAATAATTAAATCTATTATGAGTTATTTAATAATTAAACAAGTTGAAACTTAACTTTTTTTAATTGTATAATCTGCTAAATTTAAAATTTTCTTTTGCTTTCCAACAAAATTAAATAAATTATATTTAAAAATAAAAAAAAACAAACTAGAAGTTTATTATCATACAATATTTAAAACATATAATCTCACAATTTATATTTACCTTACAAAATAAAAAAGAAAAATGATATTTGACACATTTAGGTTATAATTTATTAATTAATTTATGGAAAAATGAGTGCAAATATAAAACAAAATCTTAAGAATGTTGAATAGAGTGTTAACAAGAAGAAAATGAGATTTAAATCTTTGATTTCTATCTTTTTACCCTCAAATGATACAAACTTTCAATTTTACCTAGTGGTTTTATAGTGCTAATGCATTTTTAATAAAGTTTGAGTGTTGAGTATCAAAATTATAAAAATAGGGTGCAAAATTCCACAAACTCCTATTTTTAGGGTGTAATATATAAATTAGTCAATAGAAAAAGCCCTAAATGTGCATTTTGAACCTTCTCATGAGGAGAATTTTACAGTACACATTTACTGCATGGCAATAATTCTCCTCTCTATTAAATCCTTAATTGGCAATAAGCGAACATCGATGGAAACCTCCATTAATCACGTCTCTACCCCTTGGCCTATTTCGCCTTGCAATAATCTCATCCTTACCCTGTCTGACTCTTTGTAGCTTTGCCATCACATCTCCCAGATCTAGTTTTCTAATGGTAACTACTGACTTCAGAGCCTATGAAAGAAGAAGAATACCGGGGCTTCACTGCATGGTGGACAAGGTCAGTGCTTGGTCTATTGATTGGCAACAAATACGAATGAGAAGAGGCAAAGGAGAAGATGACGAGGGAGAATGGATGGGGAAAATTAAGGGAGACAAATGTTATCTTCATTGAAAATAACTTATTTACAATCATTTTGATAAAAAAACAGTGAGCATAACTTTTTGTTATTTTCATTTTTCACCTCATTTTTTTAAGAAATATTTTTGATAAAAATAAACAACATACAAACAAAATGTATTTTCAATTTTATTTTCTATTTTCTTTAAAAGTAAAAATAGAAAATAGGCAAATTCAAACACGCTCTTAATTTCCATGGCATGAGAATTGAAAATTCAATCAACACCGGGGGTTAATAATTATTCAAAAAAGTCTAAGAGATATTTATAGGAAAGTGAAAAAGAAAATTTGTATTTGACTTGATGTTAGCCGCAACAGCACGTTTCCCTGTAACATGCATGAATAGGAGAAGATACTTGTCTTTGTTCTTGGAAGTATGCTTAAATTTCATGGAGGCATCCCTGCTGGCACTGACCTCTGTTGGTTGTCGGATGCTTGGAGTTAAAATGGTGGTGGGCCTTCCTAATTTATCACTTAGTTAATTTGATTTGGATTTGAACGGGGAATATATGCGCAACTGACGCCTTGCAGTCGACGTGTGACGTCGACTTTTCTCTGTTCAGGAGAGATATTCCCGCTTATTCTCCTAGTAGCGCTTGGAAAAATTTTCAAGGATAAGAGAAAAATACAAAATTGCCTTCTTTGACCCTGATTTGTGGAAGGAAAAAGAAAGGGAGAATTCTAAAAAAAAAGTAATTAAAAAAAAAAATTACTTTGAGGGTCTAATACCAAAAGGAAAAATAATTCTAAAAAAAAAAGTCACAAACAAAAAATTACCCACTTAAAGTAATTTGTAGTACTTAAAATACCTTTCCCTCCTTAATGGAACTCCCGCCTACCCCCATGGTCATCCTTCTTACCCGATCCAAGCTTCCTCTGCAATCTTCTTCTTCTTCTTCTTCCTTTAGCATTTGATTATGGCTCCTACCCAATCTTGCTTCTCACTTCTTACTTTGAGACTAGCTTTTACCATCTTGCTACTTAGTTCTGGTTCTTGCTTGCGCTTCTACCTTCTTCTTTGCTTCTTCTTCGCATCTTTTTCACTATAAGCTTTTTTGATTGATGTTGCTCATGCTTGAAACTCTTGCCCAACTCGCTGCAAGCTTTTTTGATCAATGTTGGTCATTATTCTTTAAACTAAGCTGGTAGGTCATCATTCTTCCTTCCACAAAGTTATTGTAGTACCACCCCCCTGTTGGTGGTTTTGCTCTCTTATTTGCTTCCACATTGTCACTCTATTGCCAACACAAAGCATTTAGTCCACTTGCATAAAAGTATACATATTGCTACACATCTGTTAGAATAGCATGTTTGCTTGAGATAACGCACAATCATTAATATAATATTTTAGAATCAACACTTGCATAATTATAACAATGCATCTGTTTTCTTACAATATTATATATATATATATATATATATATATATTATTTTACACTAGCACATTGTCTTTTTACAATCATCCAGCTATTATTCTACAGTCACCCCTCCATATTTTTACAATAACCCATCAATTTTTGTACAATCATACATATATTATTTTACAGTCACTATTTGTCTTTTTACAACCATACATATGTTATTTCATCGATACCTATATTTCTTTTTACAATCATGCATTTGTTATTTCATATTCACCCATATTTTTACAATTTTGCATGTGTTATTTTGCATCACTTATCTGTCCTTTTACAACCATTCATATGTTATTATACAATTATCCATCTAAATCTCTATCTGTTTTAATTTTCTACAATCATGTATCTGTTATTTTACAGTCACGAATCTGTCATGTTATAATTAAGTATGATTTTTATTTTGTAATCATCCATCTGTCCTTGTACATTGCATCTTACTTTACACTCACCCATCTGTCTATTTAAAATCATGCATTTATTATTTTATAGTCATCCATTTGTCATTTTGCACATGCATATTTTGGTATACAATCACCCAAACTATCTTTTCACACTTATGCACTTGCCATGTTACATTCTTCCATTTGTCCTTTTACACATGCATCTGTTATTTAGTCCAAAGTCTACAGATGTATTTGTAGTTTTACATTTATTCGTTTGTATTTTTTCTATCATACATCAGTTATTTTACACTCACCTATTTGTCTTTTTGCAATTATGCAACTGTTATTTTAGTCACTTGTATATCTACAATTTTACACTCACCTGTCTATTTTTTACAATTATATGTCTGTTATTTTGTAGCCAATGACCTGTCCTTTTACAATTATGAATGTGTTATTTTACAGTAATTCATGTATGCTTATAGTTTGCATTCATTTGTTTGTTTAGAGATTATGGTTGGCATATATTGCTATTGCCATATGGACGATGAGAAATTACTTATAAATAATACCATCGAGTATACGAGTGGTCGGATAATTGGTTTAGATGTTCCTTATGATGCATCATATTCACAATTTAAAAAAATGCTGACTGAAGCATTTCCGTGTGATCTAAAGAATTGACTCATACAATATACAATCAGAATTAACCAAATGAAGCTTATATATTTGTTTTCTGATAAAGGCATGCAGTTCTCTTAAAAAATAACAAAGATTGTGGAATGGTATATATTCTTGGCAATCTTTCTTCGAGAGGTTCAAATCCATCTAACCAGAGTATACACAGTCTAAGGTATCCATCTTCTGGTTTATAATTTATTGTGTTCATCCAATTATAATATTTGTTTGTTTAGAATCTGTTATTTTGCAATATGTATTGGCCATTACTTTTTGATAGCTACATCTATTAGTTTCCAGTCAGAAAACTGTTATTTTACAATCATACATATGTTAATTTACAATAAATCTTTTATTTTACAATATTGTATTAGTTTGTTAACAATTTGCCATCTATTTTTGTGAATCTTGTTACAATCACTCTGTGGTTATTTGCAGCAACAATAGCTAGGGATTAACATGTAGTAAAGTATGTCAATATCTGACATTCTGCCTTCACCTTTGCCTTTGCCATCATGCATGCCAACATTCTCTCGATCCAATATGCACTATTATTACTGAAAAATGGCTAGTTTT